CCAAAACACCAACTAATCGTCTTGGAAGAAGAATCACCAGAATTTTCCTCAGAATCAAGGAAGGCGAGACATGGTCTCATGTGCTTCGCATAGTTATCCAGAGAGCCCAGTCCCCGGGGAAGGGCTTCCTGCTTGGTAAAGTAGCGGGTTAGAAAAAAGGAAGACCCTGGACAAACTGGATGGACACAGTGCCTGCAACCATGGACTCAACCCTGAGAACCATTGTGAGGATGGTGCAGGAGCAGGGTGGCTTCCTTCCCTTACGCCCACGGTTGCTATCGGTGGAAAGAGACCCGACAGCCCTAACAGCAATGTGACTTGGAGTGACCCCGTGACAGTGTGTTTGCTGTTGTATAGAGGTTTTACTTCCATCTCCACAGGCCCACGAAGCCACCAAACAATATCTTCAAGTTACAAGCATTTTAAGCTTGATCCAGTGATCAAACAAGAAATAGATTAAGGTAGTAGTTCTACTTATGCCATGTGATGACCAAAGTTACAATAATGCTTTTAAAAATTGGCAAAAAGCGAGCTGTGGATGCTCGGAGAAGTTGTGTTTTAGCAGTAGGGTGGAACAAGCATCTTAAACGAAGCCTTTGTTTACCTGTGTATGACTGAATGGAGGCGGGCGAAGCAGCCCTGTCCGTGTGGGTCTAAGAGTGTCAGAAAGAAAGAGGCATTGTAAATGTCACAGCAGCTACCTTGATGCCAGCAGTTATGGCAAATGGCAAAAGAACACAAATTATTCTGAAACCCTAGCTCCCTTTTTCATTATTTCAACCTTTCTTTTAGTGTTTGGATCATTCTGCCAACAATAGGATTAAAAAAAAATTAGGCAGCTGGTCTTCAAGCCCTCTGTACGTGGAGAATGAGTTCCTGCTTGCTGTTTTTACACGGCAGGAGTGATGAGGAGGCCTCTGGGAAGCTCTTTTCATCGTTTAATATGTTTATACTCAAAGGAATGTGAGAAAAACCCAGTCCTGAAACTCTCTTTATCTTTTCATGTAAGCGATGGTAGTTTTTAAAGATATATTAAAAAATAAGTATCCGTAGGAGCTGATGCCAGGGACTCAAATGGAAAACAGATGTTTTGATGATGAGGGCAACAAATGTGTAAATGTGCTTGGCACAATGGATGCATGTATGGATTGTGATAGGCGTTGTACGAGCCCCTAATAAAATGATTTAAAAATAAAAAGTAAATAAAAGATAAGTATCCTGTGACCAGACCTCGATGTGAAAAATGTCAGAGGACAATTATGTGAAGAAAACCAGTCAAACGAAAGTTGGAGGATTAGAGGACATGTAATTTTTTTTTTTTACTTTATTTTTTAAAGATTAAGCACTTTTTCCCCCTTCCTTCACTTTGGAGATCTGGATTACATATGTAGCAGGCTTTTGAAATTTTGATTTGGTGACTTGAGTTACAACATATTTGTAGTTTTCTTAATTTAAAAAAAATGTACAAGTGTCTGTGGGTCATTTCTCACAGATGGTAGTCTCCAGTATGCCCTGCCACAAATACCATTTCCACTGCTCAAAGGCGTTTGAAGATGGCCAGGTCCCCATATCATAAGGAAGGTGGTGGAAGGGGAGAGCAAGCCTCTGGATCCTACAAACAGTAGCTGTGAACCAAAAGATTGGGGTTTCCGTTCATTCTGGGCCCTGTGAGGAAAGACCTGGGGATCTACTTAGAGAAATCAGTCATTGAAAACCCCAGGGAGGAGCATAGTCAACTCCACACCACCTGGTTTCTAGCAGTGAGGGAAAGAAAGGACAACTATCTTAATATTCCACTTAACTTAATAATGTGTCCTAATACAATGCATTCAGAAGCAAAATTATTTTAAATGAATGGTCTGTGCAGTGTATTTTAGGAAAACCCAGTGACCTTGAAAACACCCACCCTTCATAACAACACACAGAGTAGTGGTTGCCTTTGGGGAAGGGAGTTGGGGATGATGTCAAGAGCAAGATTTACTTGTCATTGTTGACTTATTTTGGTCACCTTTGCCTATTGTATCTATTTTTTATGTTAAAAAAAGGAAGAACTTGCCCTTGACGCACTCCTGTTCCCA